AATGATTTTCTTACTGGTATAAAATATTACTTAAATGATTACCCACATAGCACAAAACATCCTCAGGATATCCTATTTAAGTCACAATATCCCGGGACATACTTAGGTTGTCCTCAGTATGTTGATTCTCAGATGTCCTGAGGATGTCTTATTTAAGTCGCTATGTCCCAGGATATGAGAGTATGTCCTGAAGATGTTGATTCTCAGATGTCCTGAAGACTTTACCAATTTAACATCTTGAGGATATTCATACTGCATTGTCCGGAGGATATTTGTTCTCAAATTTACCAGTTATTTTTTTGACATTGCACACCTGAAACTTGCACATTATTTAATTTTCATATGTATTTTACTAAATTGTTTCTAAATACCATACATTAAAAATATTGATATGATTGATGATTTATTCTTGTTATTTTGTTATTATTTTTCTGACGTTTTTAAAATTTATTTAGTCATGGAAAAGATTTTTTTTCAATGGATTAGCATTTTCTAGAATATTTGCAAAATTCTAAATAACACATATTTTTTATAAAAAAAATTTAAATTACATGTGTAATTAATTATCTTATGCAGATTGCTCTTATGCAGATTACAAACCATTCTATAAATATAGGCAAAATTAGAATTTTTTTCTCTTTTTTTTTAAATTACGGAAACAATTTTTTTTTAATTATGGTGAAACATTTTTTCCCTAATCCCATAACGCTGTCGATGGGACGCAGATAGGATGTTTTTAGGATATAATGGGATGTGTTTAGGAGGTTAGTGGGATATCCCGGGATGCCCTGCGGATGTAGTAAGTAGGAGTTCATATCCTAATTAAGATCCCGTACGCTGTCGATGGGACTTAGTTAGAATGTCCTGAGGATATACTGGGATATGACATTAAGCACTCGGGAGGAGGTGTTTAGGACGTTCGAGGGATATTCCGGGATGTCCTGAGGATGGGCGCATATCCCGCGAGCAACATCCTCAGGATATCCCAAGGCTGTTTTTGTGCTATGTAGGTAATCATATGCTTAAATACAATGTATAAAATTTAAATACTTCAGAATTTATAACCAAAAAAATTGAGTTAAATTCGTAATATACACTTTGGTAAATAAAATAAATATGTCTGTAAATATAATAAATTCTTTCTTATATCGATTTATTACATCTGTAATTCGAAAATTCTCTCAGAATTGTCATGGGCAGTTCGTGCAAAATTTGCATCTACATTTTTATCTCCCTGACTGCTGGGTTATTGCAAATGTGCCTTAAAGTATATGTAAAAATGAATTTGCCATAAAGTGGATAAACATTTCAATTAGAAGACAGAAGAGAAATGCGCCACATTAAAACATAACATTAAACAAAGTAAAAACCATGTCTTTGAGCTGCTATGGTTGCTACATTTTTCAATTTTGTTTTTTCAAAGTCAAGACTGTTTATTTTTAGGGCAACAGGTTCAGGTACCTGTTGCCCTAAAAAGTTAGGATCAAAGAAATCTGCATCTTCTTCGCTCCTGATGAAGAGGGACCTGTACCTGTTTGCATTCGAAATCGATAGTGTCTAGATTAAAATCTACGTGACACATATGGCAGTTGCTTTGCCTAATTATATGCTTTGATAAGTTGACAAACTTATCCTGCGTATATTGTGTATAATTAACATTTTATGTTTTACACTGAAGACTACGCATATCCATACTGTTAATTTGTAGATCAGTAAAATTATTTCTCTCTTATGCAAAAAATTTATTTATTTTTGGTTTTTTACCTATTACGATAAAATTATTTGAAGAATTAACTAATAATTTAAAGTAAACGTAAATATTCTGATTATTATACAAATTTTAATAATTTTAATTGGATTATTAAGGCCCGTTTCCACTGCTGCGTATGCGTTGCGGTGTCTATGCGTTTCTCCAATCAGCGAGCGACTTCACTTTGATTGACATCTGCAATCCGGTCGATGTGCGGTGACGGATGACATACGGATGGAGTTCAACAATGTTCAACTTCTATCCGTATGTCTGCGGATGCGTTGGAGTCACGTGGTAAAAAAGGAGCAATCAAGTGTAGTCACCAAAAAATTAATGGCGGCAGAAGTAGCGATGAACGCTCGCTTAGTTAAAGAATTGCTAAAAAATACTTATTTCTGAATTAACATTATAGCGAGAAATCTGCGTGCTGAAAAAGACAGCAATCAGCTGAATTTAGTTAAAAAAAGATAAGAAAAATAAAATAACTGCAACTACAGTACTTGTTCGCAGATAAAATCAGGCGTTCAAGAAATTCAATTCAAGAAAATCAACGGCAAAAATTATAATTCCAAGTCCATGAAATAGCAAAATTTGTCCTGACAATTATTTCCTAGTTCTGCATATTCATTTACCTTTAATGAAAATGAATGTCTGGCTATATCAAACTGCTATAGCAAATTAGATATGATTAAAGGATTTGTTATTTTTTTCGTTTGAAACAGGTAAAAACTAAAAACGTTAATTATAAATTAAATTTGATAGCCTTTTAAATATTCCACTGCATTAAAGAGTATGTTAAATTTGTATTTCCCTTTATAAATATATCTTTTTCGCTAACCTATATTTGTAAGCACATGAAATATATTTTTAACAGCCCGTTTAACTTCAATCGGAACGCCACTTTAAAAGATGATGTTTTTTGTAAAAAATGTACTAGAAGCTGTAGAACAAACTCTGGTGAATTTTTCAGACGATAGCACACTGAAATAGAACCCAAAAAATTAGTTTTAAGAATTGATTGACTTGATGATGTATATAAGCCAAAATATGCATGCAACTCTTGTGTGATGCTAGCTTAGTGGTAAAGAGCTGACGGTAATAATGTTTACTTTTGGGGGGTCGTGAGTTCGAATCCCATACGCTTTTTGCACCCTGTCTGCAACTTTCTCAGCTTTTTGTTCCAATTTGATCTATATTCGTGTTTTATAATTTATTTCTATTATTATATGCATTAAATATACTGTTTTATTTATGCTCTTATTTATTTAAATTTTCCCCCTGCAAAAAAGTTTGAAAATTATATAGCATACCCTGCACATACTATATATTTGAATTTAACAAACATTCTTTATTCGTAAAAAGCACATTTAAAGTTAATTAAATATAGATGAAATAAATTATTAATTATTCCTGCGAACTAATCTACAATATTATTTAAATTCTGAGAGCATATGTAAATCAAGTGCAAGTATCAAAATCCATGAATAAATATATAATTCCAAAAATTTATTAATCCTAAAAATTTATAAAAATGCGTAAGTGAATAATGGGATAGCTTATTAATCCTAAAAAAATATATATAAAAATGCATAAATGAATAATAAGAGAGATTTAATCCTAAAAAACTTATGAAAATGCATAAGTGAATAATAGGATAAATAAATTTTTAGAATTATTACTTAAAATCGGAAATTTTTTCTTTCAAAGAAGGAATTATTTAAAGCAATTTTATACTAATTTAATTTACTCTTCACTATATCAGTCTTCATAGGTTAACATTTAAATGTTTAAATGTTATAATATTTTCTCAAATTCATGCTACTAAGAAAATATTTAAAATATTCCTAAGTCGCAAAGGATGAGAATCAGATTACCATAATGCAAGCAGCTTAATGAACGTCTTCAGCAAACTGGAACAATAAATTTGATTTTTTTAACAAGTCTTCCCTCCCTGCAGAAGCTTTTAAATTTCCATATCTGGTAAGATAAAATAAGATTTCAAATATTATTTTATGAATTCGGTTTGCTTAAAATAACTTTAAAATGCTGAGAATTTTGTATTAATAAAATAGCACATTTAAATGAATTTTACGGTTAATATTACTAGCAACGCTTTTTCTGTTGCAAAATTGTATTTTACATAAGTTTATGTTTTATATAAGTGAAACTCTTTTTCATTCTTAACTTTGAAATAATGGCACCTTCAGCATCATTTTGGGACATTGTATAGTTATTATTATTATTGTAGAGTTGTTATTTGATTTTTTTTAAACATGACGTGAGAAATGTGGAATGCCCTCTCTGAGACTCGAACCAGGACCTCTCGAATATGCCCCGAGTGTTACCGTTACACGACGAAAGCATGCAGTGAGGAGAAAGGAGGGACCTTACATACTCCTCCCTTTTAAAGGGCGACTGGGGATTAGGGGACCCAGTCGCCAAATCCTGATGTTGAAGAATCGTCATCCGCCACCTTTTAGTTCGGGCGCCATTGCAGAGACATTAGGCTATTTTGATGCTGGAGACTTGAAAAATTAGCATTGCCCTCACGGGGACTACTTGAACCTGGACTTTCTCGAATACGTTTCGAGTCAAAACCTCTTAACAGAACTTCTGTTGGGAGGGGTTGACCAAGTGTGCTTCCCGTTACCCAACGAATGCATGTTGGAAAGGGGGAAGAAAACAAACACTGCAACTTTCAGACATGCTTGGAATAAGCAAAGTAACCTGTAAGTTAATTTTGAATGAAATCTGTAAAACCTGTAAAGATTGTACTCGATTTGTGCCTCGAATTATGACAGAACAGCAAAAAGAAGACGGGAAATCTTGCTGTGTAGGTTTGCTGACTATTGGGTGGCCCCCAACAATTTTTTAAACGTCTTTCATAGCGGGAGATGAAACCTGGTGTCTGCAACATGACTTAGAAATCTTATACAACTCCTTTTAGAGGGCAACTGGAAACTAGGCGACGCAGTCGCCAAACCCTGATGATGAACAATCATCAGCCACCATCTTTTTAGTTCGGGAGCCACTACAGAGATGTTAGGCTATTTTATTATTGAATATTATTATTGATGTTAGATTATTTTATTAATTATTTTAGTATTGTTATTATTGAATGCTGGAGAAGTAAAAAATAAGCAGTGCCTTCGCCGGGACTCGAACCTGGACCTCTCGCATACGCGCCGAAGTGCTAACCTTTACTCCACGAAGGCATGCAGAAAGGAAGAACAAATACACCCTTTTAACTGTACTCGCTTTGGCAGTACATATACTAAAATTAGAACGGTACAGAGAAGATTAGCATGGCCCCTGCGCAAGGATCACACCCTTTTAACTTCAGCGAAGTTTGTCTCTGCTTCAGTCTCTCTCTCTCCCGCCCAGAAAACGCCACTCTCAACTTCTTCAAAATCAAAAACTGTTTACAAACTTTGAACGGGTATTTAGATGTAAAACTGCATTGGCTCATGTGGGGCATATTGGAAACGAGAGGGCCGAGTATCTGGCCAAGGAGGCAGCCTTCGATACGTATATCCACCTTTATTGAAATTTCAGGATCTAAACAGATGGCCATCCCACACGTGAAGAAATTTTACATTGGCAAATTTAAAATCCTATGGGAAAATTCACCAAAAAGTAAAGAATACATGAAAATTATCAGAGTTTCTAACAAAATGGCTATTTTTAACAGTATTGATTTAAACGAAAATCCTTACTGGCACGGGAGATTTTCCTATTATTTTAAGAGATTCAACTTACAAAATAATGAACATTGTGCTTTTTGTAATGCCTTTGGAGACGCGAAACATTTTGTGGAGGACTGTCCTATTTTCTCCGATCAGAGGAAGCTTTACAAAATTGATAATGCTATATACTATAATGATAATTTTGATATCAAGGCTTTTATATCTTTTGCGCAAGATGTCCTTAAATTTATTAATGCAAATCGACGTGTAATTGAAATTCTGATCTGATGTTGTCCTTTGTCTTAGTTTTTGTTTGCATGTTCGTGAGTGCTTGTTATATGTTTTTCCCTATTTTTATTTTACATTGAGTATTATTTGTATCTTATTTATATTTGTATTATGAATTATTTATTTTGTATCTGATGTTCTTTTGGGATCACTCTTTTTTTTGACTATGAGGCCACTTCTTGGCCAGGGGATTCTGAGTGTACCCCCAATGTATTACAATGTATTACCCTTTTAAATTACGATTAGTGATTAGGGGATCCAATCGCCAAATTATGGTGGTGAAGAATCATCATCAACCATCTTTTTAGTTCGGGCACCACTACAGAGATGTTAGGTTATTTTGAATGCTTGAGAAGAGAAAAATGAGCAGTGCCCTTGCGGGATTTGAACCGGGACTTTCGAATACACGCCGACCGTGCTAACCGCATGCTGGAAAGAGGGAGAAAATACCTTATCATATAATTGAAAGAATAAATGATCATTCGCGATTTCGGAAGATTTAGGTCATTAGCAGATCTTTCAGATGCGACGTTCGATGTTGATGTGTATGATACATTCCTAAAAAATACTGGTCATTTCTAGAGATGATCCGTATAGACAGATGGTCAACACAAGACTATTCATTGCATTTTAAAGGAAAGAAATTTTAGTACTTCGTGTTCATTACATCTTCTTTTAAAATAAAAATGAAGTATAATGAATTAAAAATTTTCAGGTTTCCTACATAGTCATATTTGCAATTTTTAACCAAAGTGTTCTGTAGTATGATTTAACCCATAAACCGCTGGTGTTGCGTTGACGCAACGGTCAAAATAAATGCGTATATAAATATAACTATCTAAGATATTTTTTACCAGCAAATAATTTTGTGTAGAGAATATTATGAAGATTGTTTCTATAAAAAAATATTTGCCTTCAACAATCATTTTGTTTATAATAATTAATCTCATACTTTAAGCAAAATTTAAGCCAAATTTTCGACCGGGTCTTTTTGCTGAAAATATTTAACGAAAGAATCGCCGTCTTTATGAGTGATCTATTTTTAGTCAAGGTCACCGTTTATCAGAACATTACATCAGTCAGATGTTTATATTTGTGTTGGGAAGGAGCTGAAAACAGGTGTTGCGTTGACGCAACGTCAGCGGGAAACGGGTAGTCAATCTCCATTTTCACTCATTCCTTTCGATGTTCTGGTTCATGTTCTGGTTGTTTAAAAATGCCTAGAAGGAGGTATCTTACATTAGAAAAAGCCCTTCAAAGTTTTTTTGATGAAGAAACAGATGATGATAATGTTAATAATGACCAGAATGAAACTGATATTGTTGTTTTTCCCCAGAAATTGCAGAGGCTAGTGACGAAGAAGAAAGAATGGCAATGTTTTAAATAATGATAATTATATTTTACCAAATGATACTGCTGGAGAAGTTTAAATTCACGTAAGAAGTAAGTTTCAGCCTTCTAAAAGCAGTTATAGTCATACTAAAATGTTTAAAAAGCAGAAGACTGAAATCTAGAAGTGGATAAAAAAGAAACTGTTAGTTATGTCTCAGGAAGAACATGAAGAAAGAGATAGAAGATAAATTCTAAAAGACAAAACACAAGATAAAACTAGTGCACAGATTTTAGATTTTCTTTTTGGTTTAGAAATTTACTCTCTTTTCGTCGAACAGACAAATATATACGCTCAGAAAAAAAAAAAAAAAAAAAAAAAAAAAAAAAACAGAATTTATTGCATCTAAAGCCTATATGAGAAGATTTATTGGAATATTATTGCTTACAGGATATTATTCTTTACCTGAAGAAAAAAATGTGTTTCTTCTTTTGATAGGGACATTTCTGTTCCTGTTGCACGAGAATTGGTATCACGTTTGCACTACAGGAATACGAAGCAGAATTTATATTTGACAACAGTCAAATTGAGAGTACTGATAAATTATATGAGGTGAGACTGTATCTAAACTTACTAAATATCACCACTTTTTACTATTGGAAATATAAAGTCTCTTTTAGATTTCAGACGCGAGAATGCATTATTCCTTTTGCAAACTTCTATTGAGAGTGTAGAATTAGCTAGAAATAGATCACCAACAGGAATACCTAGTAAATTCAGCATTCAAAAACCATTGCATGGAGATGGTAGACATTTTATCGTAAAGTCATTTGATAACAAAAGACTCTGTTGTAAAGAGTACCGTGGCCAGACTGTTCATTGATGCAAAGTATGTAATGTAGCTTTACATCATGATTGTAATCAAAATTTTCATGCTTGAATCTTTAAAATGAAATATTCTGTATTTGTAAAAGAAATACAATGTATCTTTTAATATTAAATTAATTACAAGTAAAATGATTTGTAGATTTACAAAACGTTATACAGCTAAAAAGTAATCCTGCGCTCCACTCGAAAGAAACATCACACGAGTGCAATCCTACTCACTAAAGATCCGTAGTCTTATTCCGCTGTCGTTGCGCGAACGCAACACTGGCTTTTTTCACAGGTAAGAGCATTTTTTTTTTATTTTCAAAGTAAATTTATGTTATAAATGCTTAATTTAATATTTGTTATTATTTTAATGAGAAAAAAAAACATTCCTTGTAGTTTTGGCGGTGAATGGGTTAATTAGCTGTTATTGTTATTGTAATCTTCATTCATTAGTGTAATTGCTAAGCATGCAGTTTTTGAAAATGTTTATTCTATTACGATTCATGACAAGACAATTTTAAACTATAAGTTATTTCCCTTTCGTATGTCTGTCAGGCAAAATCCAACGACTCAGTTTTATATTTAATTTTCTCCTGTGTTCTGACAAGAGCAGCTTACTTCATACTGTAATCTCCAATCATACTTCATACTAGTTCTAATCCTGCAGAACCTGTGTGTTGTCATCTGCATTCTAAATTAATTTGTATCAATTTCAACACGATTCTCAGTCAAAAAATACTTACTAGATAAGAATCTAAACAGAGGTCCGTAACTAATGAACGAAATCTTCTGTACTTCGATGTTGATTATTTTATAAATAATCTTTATAATCTTATGCATATTAAGCTTTTAACTGATGTCGGTGAAATTAAGTAATGCGTATGAGAACTCCATTCATAAAATGTGTAAAGTTGTTGTTAATATTTAAAAAGGGTTATTCATTCAGATTTTAAATAAACTTCATTACTCCCTTGTGCGAAGTAACGGAAGAATTGTAATGGCGAAAATGTCGAATACAATTTAACGAGGTTTTTGCCTGTCATTTGTACGTAAGACAGAAAAAAAGGACTCTTTTATCGAAGCGGGTTTAAAAAAAGATTTAAAATGGATTCAGAAGACATTTTTTCGTGACGTCAGAACGTACGTTATAAGGTATTTCTCCCGCCTTCTTAACATGCCTTCGTAGAGTAGTGGTCAGTACGGTCTGCGCGTATTCGAGACGTCCGTGGTTCGAGTCCTGGCGAAAGCGTTGCTCATTTTTCATCTCTCCGTCTAAGAAATAAATAATGTCTTTACACCGGTGCCTGAACTAAGAGGGCGGTGGATGATGATTCTCCACCTCCAGGGTTAGGCGACTGTATCCCTTAATCCACAATCGCCCTTTTAAAGAGGGAGTATATAAGGTATTTCTCCCGCCTTCGTAGTTTAGTGGTCAGCACGCACGGCGCGTATTTGTATTCTCGAACGCCGGAATACACTCGACGCATATTCCATCGTTCGAATCCCGGCGGAGGCTTTGCTCATTTTTCATATCTCGGGCAACGAAATAACCTAATGTCTCTACAACGTGTGTGTGTGCATCTCGCATAACGAGTAGGCTCGGAACGTTGAAATCATTGATCACTGAAAGAATCAAAAACGAGCGGCCTCAGAACGTTAAAATTTTATGTATAGGACTGCTATAGGTTACAGGTTACGGGGATCACGGGCACTGTCCCTTTACCATAGTGGTTAATCGGTTTAGCACCGTACCCACCACAGTCTAGAGCCAAATGATAGGAACTCACGGGCGCCCCGCACCCGGAACCGAAGCCCAACGCCCGGACCACCCAGAGGGCAGTCCAACAGACCAAAAGCGCCCTCCAGACAAAACTCAACCAACCGTCGGGGCATTTATTGAGAAAATTCACAAGCTTGCATGGCCATATAAGGGCTCATAACTGCACAGCAGTAAAACAATTGGTATGACCTGATGACAAAAATAATACAGACACATAAGACAAAATTAACTAATCCAAACATATAAAAGAAATAAAAATTTAAAAGATATAGAAAAACATATTAAGTAATGTTATGTAATTACTTAAACAAAATACCATAATGAAATGCAAAAGATGTACATAAATATTGCAATGTAATATTCAAACATGTCACATTAATAAATGTCCAAGAAGTAAGCA